CGGTGCCCTGCTTGATCAGCCCAGGTGCCGAAGGCTATGTGTAGTGTTGACGACCCTCAATCTTTGAAAAAGCACCTTGAGCCCCTGAATCCAAAATCCTAAACCAAGTCCCCGAAACCCCAAACCCTCGGCCTTTCGGCCCGAAAGGACGTCTCCTTTGATCCTGGGACTCCGGACTTTGACAAAGCCCGAGCTGACTGGACAGCCAAAGGCCTTCAGGGTTTAGGGGCTTTAGGCGTCTTTATAGGATGAACCGGGCTGGGGAAGCTTTGGATCTGAAGTTGGTCACCTCGAAGTTTCGCAGCCACGACCTCGAAACAAGGTCGTACATGTTACTTACGGCATCTTACGGCCTTATGACCCTCAGCCCCACTAAACATAATTGCCTCAATGGCCAGGCCGCAGCACGGCCGAGAAGCTCTTCAGGGAGCTGCTGGCCTAGTAAGAAGATGCAGCAAGGAGTAGGTTGGAAGGCCCAAAGTGGCCATCAAAAAGTCAGCAGCCTGACAAAGTAGGTGCCTTTTTTAAGGTCTGGGTGTGTGTCTTCAAGGTTTGGGGCTCAGCATGGGTTGTGTGTTGGCGAAGCCTGCCCCGAAAAGTATTTTAGACTGCGCTTCTGATCCTCAAGCAGGGGTGGTTCAAGCTTAGGGGTAGGACCTGAGATAGTCGAGTCCTCTGACTATCTATATGCGAGTCTGTATGCCAATCCTGGCTGTCAGGCTTGCTTCTTCCACATTCTCTGCCCAAAGCCTGCACCCTCATCCCGAACATTCAGCCTGAAGGCTCTAAACCCAGCTGTTCCCCTAGCTCTGGCAAGTCCTATGACCTATGACGACTTTCTTTGGAGGTTCCTGGGTAGCTATAGAGGCAAGATGATATGCTTCGGTTCAGGGTTTGGAGTTCAGGGCTTCGTTATGATAGCTGGCTATGACTTTGTTGTAGCGCCCTGGATCTGAGTCCGTTCAAGGAGCTGCCTGCATCTAGGATGTGGCAGGTTTAGGATTTTTTCGGCTTACAGGGACCTTGGGCTTGTGTCAAGGGTTAGGGGTTGGGTCTGGGTTGGGGCTTATGGTTTCAAGGTTTACATGAAAGGTTTACAGGGCGTAAGATTCGGTCGCAGGGCTTAGGGCATTGGGGTTAGTGGGTGTGTTCTTCAAAACTGCAGCGCCAGCTGGCTCAACGATATGCCGAGAGGCAAGCCTGGCGATAAATCAAGCACTCAACCGCAGACTCCTGTCCCCACATAAGTCTTGATAGATACATACATATACGTACATACACACACATATATATATATATATATCATATATACATACATATATATATGTATGTGCACGCACGCATGTACGGATGCATATACATATAAAACACACATGTATATATGTATATATATATATATATACATGCATATATATTATATATATATATAGAGAGAGAGAGAGACACAAAAAACAAGAGCATCTGTATGGAGCTTGCGCGCGACTAAAGAAGCAACGCGCCCAACCCCTCATACTTACACTGCAGACGCGCGGTCGCGGCCCTGTGGGAGACTGTGTCATCCCGGGCAACAGCCCCTCGCATCCCAGCATGGCTCCACATGCCGAACTGACGTTCGCACAAGCCTGAGCGGCATCTGGCGAAGTCAGCAAGAAGCCGAGATGACGGCGTCCTTTGACGACCCCGAAGATGCTGGTATGCAATGAAAGCGGAGTTTTGTTGAGGGAGATCGGGGTTGGCTCTTGTACATGTCACGGCTAGAATGTGGAGTGCATGTCCGGTTTTGCGCCCAGGTAGGCAGGCAGGCTGCTTGAAACGTGCAGGGCAGCAAATCTCTTGGGAATCTGAAGCCGCCCGCGTTTGAGATTATAAGCCTGTGAGCTTTTGAAAGATTCTGAGCCAGGACTCGATGGACTTCCGGGTTGTCAAGCTCTTCAACCATGACAGGAGGCGGAGCAACGGGATCCACACCAACAAGTATACGTGGCTCCTTGCACTGCGGAAAGACGACTCATTGGTTAAGACAGGGTTGAGGGCTCAAAATGCAGGTAGGGCTCAGCTATCAGGAACACCAGAGCCAAGAGGCCCCGCCCGTACCTTCGATGCTATAGAGGCAGCATCTGGATATCTGTTCCAGGATTGCAAGGCAGGGTCCAGGTTTAAGGCATTTGGGGCGGCCTTGAGGGTTTATGTAGGGTTCAGGGTGTGGGTTCAGGGCTTGGGGCTTAGAGGGCTTTTGCAAAGCTTTTCAACCCAAAATCCAGGGTGGATGGAATGCTTTCCGTCAAGAACCAACTTTGAGAAGCTCCCCTCAAAGGTACGACTTTGTGCCCAAGAACCTTTTCGAGCAATTCAGCCAGCTGGGCAACATCTACTTTCTGCTCGTGGCTGTGGGCCAGCTCTTCCCGTACCCGAAGCCACACTGGAGAGGGGGTGGGGGAGGGAGCGTGATGGCTTCAGGTTTCATTGCAGTGCTTGTTTGGTAAGGCACCTCCGCTGCTGCTTAGGGCTTGGGGTTCAAGATCTCCGGGGGAAGCTTCGGAGCATTATAGAGGCACGCTGACAACCTGCAAGCATGTAGACACTGTCAGGAACAGCGGCACGGAATATGGGCTCTAGGCGCAACCTCTGCGATACTTCATCCCCTACTGAACCCCGATCCCCCAAGGCAAAAGCCGAGGCTCCCAAGCCACGATACATTCTTCCCATTTTCTTGGACTTCGGGGAGTTTCAGGTTCGTTTGCTTTGGGGTCCAAGATAAAAATTTGGGCTGGGTGCAGCGGCTCTTCAGCCTAAAGCCCCGACACTCTACAAGGCTGACCTTAAATGGGCTCAAGGGTGATTAGGGCTCATGGTTGACAACTTTGTTGCGTGAATCCCTTGCGCTTCAGAAGCTGTAGGATTCAAGGTTCAGGGCGCCAGATGTGTAGGGGCTTTCGGCTGTGAGGTCGATCAGCAACACCAAGGGGAGACCTGCTACCTTGGTACCCCTGAGCGGGGTGGTCGTGATGCAGGCAGGGCCCATGCTCGCTTCTACTCGCGCGCCAACCGGCTTGGGGTTCAGGATTCAGGCTCCTTAAAAGCTGACAAGCCCATCAACCCCGCAATGCTAAGCCGGAAAAAAGGCTTTATACTCCAAATATCTACAGTCCTCAAGGCCCTAAATCCCTTAGACCTTCAACTCCTAAGATCCTGAGCCCAAAGCCACCAGAACCCCTTCCCAGATCTTCCTGCTGCTTGGCCTCGGGCCGCGACTAAACTTGACCTGCAGCCGCGTTCCATAAAAACCCAAAGCCCTGGAGCCCACTGAGCCACAAATTGAACCTCGAGTCGTACTTGGAGGTTCATGGTCCTACGTAGGGTTCACATGAAAGCTTTCGTCGTCTGTTCCTGGGACGCTAGGTTCGGACTGCCACACTGAGGGTTTTTCACCTGGGGGCCCACCCTGAAAAGTAGGAGTCGGTCACCCAAGCTACAGCTATGCAGGCTATGCACCTCTTAACCCTGTTTCTGACTACCCCAAAACCTAGAAAGCACAGGAGGAATGCAGGAAAACCCAAGCCTCAAGCCCTAATTAAACCCGAAACCCTAATCCAGTTTCACTACCCATGAGAGATCGCAGCAATCCCTTGAAAGAGCCAGGCGATCAAGGATCTCTTCGAAGACTGGCAGCGCGTTGCGTCGGATCAGAAGGCCTCTCTTGCTGGCCAAACCCTAAATCTTCAGGGGGGATTTCACAAAAAAGCGGTGCCCTTTCGGGACACGAGCCTTTTTGGGGCCGTATGTTGGGAAATAGCCTTGGGGTTTACAAGTCCGAGCTCCTTTCAGCAAGCCGTCGTTTTTTTCTAGCAACCATGGAAGAATAGTTCTGCACCCCAAGCCCTAAGCTGGTTATCTTAGCTTAATTCCGGCAGAGGAAGTACAGACCCCAGGCCACAGGGTCCCTGGTGTACCTTTTTCTCCTTTTGAAAAGGGTGAGGTGAACCTCACCTGAAATTGATTGGGAAAGCCTAAGCCCTGACCCCCGGAGCCTGGTTGAACCCTGGAACACCCGCCCTGCAACCCAAAAACCCTGAAAACCCCTCAACTCTGAATCCTGAATCCTGTAACTAAGCCCTGAACAGACAAGATGCACCCAGGAGAACAGCAACCTCGCGACCGTGGTCGACACACACCTGGCGGAGTGACTCGGCAATGCATGAGAAAAGGGGCACGCCAGGGGTCGGAGCGCCGACTAATTAGTGAGATGAAGGCAACTTCTGGATGCCACTTGAAAAACCTCCAGCAGCTTGATGACAAGGGCTTGGATTTTCCATTCATGTTGCAAGTCGCGACGCGCTGCGCAAACAAGAGGTCTTGCAGCCTGCCTTTTCGACAGGGCGCTGCGGAATCAGCCATATCGCTTCATGGGCAGCAGGGCCCACTGATGACAGCGTGATCCACCAAGCAAGCGAGGACCGACATGGCCTCCTAAATGAGGCACCTGAGGTGTTGGGGCCTATGGAGACCGGAAGCTTTTGCTCTGCATCTGCAACGCTGCTCGTCTGCTGTCCTGGGCCTGGCTGGAACATGCGCGATGCACACGGGCATTTTGACCGATGGGCCTAGCAACCCCATGGGTCAGATGGGATGGCGCTCGTGGCCCTTTTTCCACCGCTGGCCGACCTGCTTGCCGAACTCGTGCACATCATGCTAATTACTTGCCCCCTGCGCTCCGGAACTCGAGTTGTGGGTCTGAAGTGAAGTGGTTTGGGCTATGCAGGGTCTTGGAGCTTCATCCGAAACAAGAAGAAGTGATTTATGCTGACATTCGGGCCTCTGAGTTGAGGGTTTTGGTCATGGCGCGGTGCCGTGGGCCGCTATAAGGATGTACGTGCCCTTGGTTTGGGGACTCTTCATCAGGGACCTTTGGGGCAACACAGCTAACGCGAGTAGTCCCTGAACGCTTCAACCTTATGAACTCCACAAGGAGCTCCATCGAGTGGGGTCAAATTCGGCCGGGCATGGTGCTGAAGATTCGGAACGAGGAAGGGCCAGAGCTTGGCTTGTGGGGGATGTGATTAAGCCAAAGTTGCCGCATAGGCCCTGCAAGTGTGGGGGGGGCTGCCGGGGAAGTTTGACGTGTTTGTTGGCAATGAGGCTTCTTTTAGGCTCTCAGTAGCTTGAGGTCAAGGCCCAAACTGTTGAACAATCCCCCAATGGTTAAAGTTAAGTCTGGCTCTGCCCCCTTTGTCCCCCCCCCTTCATGCGGAGACACACAGGGAAACGGTCAAGCACAACAACCAACACAACCTTGTACCTTCGACTGAGCCTGGCTCGTGAACGTTTGCGTTGAAGGTTCTTGCGGTCTTTTTCGGGGTGCTCTCTTCAAATGCACCAGTCCCCCAAGAGAAGCTACCTTGGAGGTGGGAGCATGTGACTCCAAGGGCTGAGAGCCGGCACTGCGCAGCCAGGAGCGGATACCAGCAGACTGCCTTCTGCTCACTTCCTCGCATCCTGATGGCCACTGCTCTGTGGAGACTGCCAATCTCGACGGCGAGACGCGCGCTGGCTGCATAGATCAAGTTTGTATTTTCAAGAATTTTCAGGCCTTCAGGGTCTGTTCTTTGGGTTCTTTGGGTTGCTGTAGGTTAGAAAGCTCCGGTCTTCTGGAGCCCGAAAACCCGACAGCATAGTGGGGGTTCAGGTTTTGGGGGGATTCTTCGAGGAATCTCAAGAAGAAGACTGCGGCGCTCACGGAAGCCGAGTTCGAGGATGCTGCGCAGAACGTTCGCTTCGTTGGCGGCCTGCCTCAAAAGAAATTCGACCTAGCCCCTCCTGGTAGGAGCCTCGGCTTGTGGGATGCATCAGACTTGAAGCTCATGTGAGCCCTAAGAAGCCCGAGGCCCAAAGATAGCAGCAAGAGTTTCCCAGAATCGCTGTCGTTTACGCCCACCCCCTCCGGCCCGTGAGAAGAAAACCCAGGGGCGGGCGCTGCTCCCTGCTTACGCTGCGAGCAACCCTCCGGGGACGTCTATGCCTTCCGGAGCGTCCCGGCTGCAATAGTTGTGGAGTTCAGTTTCTTGTTGGGTGGGATTCGGGCAGTTGGAGTATGGAAGACTGCATGCCCAAATCCGAAAACCTGGGTATTTCTAAGCCTGAAACCTGGAAGCCCCAACGAACCCAGGCTCCTTGGAACTCGGCAGCGGGGAGGCCCGATGGCGCGTCATGTTTGACATGTGTATATACGGCGGCTGCGAAATGTTGCCCGAGACCTGGGTGGCCGTGAGCAGCCTCGATTTACCTCTACTTTCTTAGCCGTCTTAGCCTCGCTGATAAAACTTTTTGCCCCCGCCTCCCGGACTCCTATGCTGGGAGCGAGAGCGGCAAGAGAGAAGCGGCTGGAGCTGCCAAATGGTCTAGTGGTTCTTCAAGTTAGAAACTCATCGGTGTCGGGGGCTTGAGATTTAAGAGTTCGGGTTTAGTGACTGGGAACCTGATATAGACCGAACCGGAGGTCCGTGGGTTGGGCGCGAGCACACTGCTGCTTCGAGGGACCTCGCTTCAACAGACGGAGCCGTGGATGTAGCCCCCCCAAACACGAAAGCCCCTGAATCCTGAACACCCATAAAACCCTATGAAACCCTAAGCCCTGAACCTGAAACCCTAGTTAATTCAACCCCAAACCCCTCCTAGACCCTAAACCCTGAATTAACCCTAAACCCGAAACGCACCCGTTTCGGTTTGAGGGTTTAGGGTTTAGGCGACGGTGTTTCTCAGGTTTAGGGTTCTGGGACCTTCGGCCTCAGTTTCTTAAGTCCTCAAAGGAGCTCTCCGAACAACCTCTGCCCCAAGACCCCCGAAGCACTCCAAACGAAAACCTTGTATAGTTATGTCCGTAAGCCCGGAAGACCTAAACTCTTCAACACCCTAAACTTCCAAACTGAACCCGAAAGCCCTGAAGCCCGCACCCCCGAACGCCAAAGCCCGAAGCCTAAAGCAATCCAAGACCCCAAAATCCCTAAACCCCTAAACACCCTAAACCCCCTAAACCCCTAAACCCCTTAAACCCCTAAACCCCTTAAACCCCTAAACCCCTGAACCCCTAAACCCCTAAACCCTAAACCCTAAGCATGAAGGAAAACTAGCCCAGGAGTGGGTGCTTGGCATGGTCGTCTACGCGGGCCACGACACGCGGACGCTGAAGAACTCCCGCTCCGCCCGCTTCAAGTCCACTTCCTGCACTTTCGGTTAAGGGGTTCCTCGGGTTTAGGGTTTAGGGTTCAGGGTTCAGGGTTTAGGGTTTAGGGTTTAGGGTTTGTGGTTCAGGGGTTAGGGGTTAATTAGGGTTTAGGGTTTAGGGGGTTTGAGGGGTTTTGGGACATGGGGGGAATCAAGGTGTAAGGTTAATTTCTCGTCGTGGCTGTTGCGAATCTGGTCTGCTATTTCTGACTTGAGGTTTATACGGCTTCAAGGTTGAACGGCCGGATCGTGTGTTCCAGGTGTTGTATGTGGTGTGTGTTGTGCTGTTGGCACTTGACTGGGGCCTCGCGCGACTTGCCCAAAGACCCCCCCAAGCACTTAAACCCTATATTCGTAGCTCCAAATCCCTAGAGGCCCTAGAAGCCCTAAACCCAGAAGTCCGGAAATGAAACCTCAGGCCCCAAAACCTGAAACTACCCCCCCCCCCCCCCCCCCCCCCACCCCAACAAAATAAGAAGCAGTACAAAGCCAAACAAATCCTTCCGCCAGGCCTTCAGCGCTGGATGTGCGGCTCAATGGTGTGTCTCGGCCATCACATCTGGGGACAAGAAGCTGTTGCATCCCCTCAGTTTCTCTTCAGTTCAGGTCGGGGGGGGGGGGGGTGGGGGGGGGTTGTGGGTGTGATCCAACATCTGGCCTCTTCCAGTGGCATCCGGTGCTTTCTGTACAGGGGTTCGACTATGACGAGTTGCTTCTTTGAACAGCACCACGTCTGCTCTCCATGCTTCTTTCCTGAAGGGTATAGGCCCCTTAGCTGCCATCCCCAACACTTTTTCGGCTAAAGAGAGTCCGGGTTTTGATACCGCTTTGTTGATGGGTTGGGTTGGTGTGTCTTCTTGAGCCTTCGGAATCTGGAGGAGGGGGGCTTCAAGCTATCATGGGAGTTCTGGGTGCAGGGTGGTCGGGCATGGCTTCGTGGGCTTCGATCCTCATAGCCGAGGTGGTTGCCATGATTTTCGCCGTCCAGATGTCTATCTGCTTTTTCATTTCGCTCTCCAGCTTTATGTGGCAAAGTCTCCACGGGCACAAGGACAGGCCTCGCAGAAAGAGCACCGAAGTCATGAACGCCTTAACCTCGGTAGCAGAGGGCATCAGGGCTTCGACTCTGAATTTGTATGGTTTGCAGTGAAAACCTTGCCCCAACCTCCCAAAAAACTCACACTTTCGATGTCTAAACTCCTCATCCCGTGGCAGGTGTGGTACCTGGAAGGGCTGCCTCAGTATTTGAACCCGCTGAGGCTGTTGGGTGCAAGTTTTTCCTGCGCTGCAATTGCCCTATCCTGGGTTCTTGCTAAGGAACTTAACGTTACGCTTATGCAATACATGATGTGGTCTTCCGGGCAGCTTGTCTAAGCTCCTGAAAAAGAATCCCGTATTTTCCCCATTTCGTATATCTGGTGGTAGCCAGGATGTCGGGAGTCGAGGGCTTGAAGCTGAGGGGGGGCTGCCTCGCGACAGTTTTTCCCAGCTTCGAGGCAAGTGGGCATCTGGTTCCTGATGTTGAACAGCACCTCGGCTGGTACTGGGATCGAGCCCTTCTGTGGGTCAAATTCGGTTTGGATGTCTTGCGCTCTTTGAACCGCAAAGCTCTGAATCCTAAACCCCAGATCCTCCCAAGGTCCAAATCTCTTAGCCTTTTAAGGCTGCAAACCTGATGGAAGGAGGAGCCCAAGGCCAGCTAGGTCCATGGTTGCCCCCCCCCTCCCCCTCCCTCTCGGGGGGGCCCAGGCATGGTGCCTATCTCGTTAATGATCACCGTGACGGTGGTGAAGTTTGCGCAGGGGAAGATCATGTCCCAGGACACGGGCCTTTGAGGTTCAGGGCTTGGGGCTTACAGGATCTAATGTTGGTTTCTGCGAGGGGGGGACGACCGTAGTTTTGGGTTAGGATTGAGGTATCCAAAGCCCTATACGGCCTGAACCGCAAGCCCCGAAGAGCCTGGGGCCCTTGCCGCCCTCAGACGTGGGAGTTGGCAGTTTAGTGGTTTAGTGGCGATGTATTTCAACCTCAGGCCAGGGTCCCTTGGTTTGCCTTAGGCTTCGGCTCATGCTCGATTTGCGTGTCTTGTGGCCGTCCTCCTGTGAGCGTGGCTCAGGGCTTTATGTCTCCTTGTGAAAATGCAATGTTCGCACATAACAACAAGATGCAAAGACACCAACAAGGTGTTTGCAGTTGTTATTGGACCCTTCCCTTTGGCCCCAGCCCTGAGCCCAACGCCCCCTGCATCGAAAGGATGTCATTCGAGAATTCAAGACGGGAGCCCCAGGAAAGTCTCGTAATAGTAGGAAGAGAAGGACATCGAAGCCTACAGAATTGTCGTGTAAATGAAGACACACCTGAGCTCTGAGCCAGAAAACCCAACACCCTGAAAGGATGCGGGATGCGGTAGCAACGGCAAGAACGCCGAAGTCCACACCAGCCAGGCATTGAGTAGGAACCAGCGTTGAGAAAGCCGGGAGGATGCTTCAGGTCTCTTTCCACGCTGTATCGGATATAGGTACTCGCAATGCGACACTCCACCAAGACGTCTCAATGATGCCCAACCCTCTTCGCCCTAAAAACCCAAAGGCCCCAAAGGCGTTCAACATAGTACCCTCCACGTGGGTCTTCTTGCACCATTGTCGACAGTGGGCAACCCCTGGCCAGGTGATTGATAGCCTGGGGCAGGTGACGCATGTGCCCTGGAGCTGAAGCCCAGATTATGTGGAAGGATGTCAAAAAAGGACCGTAAACCCCAGACCTTAGGGGAGTTCCTGGGATAAGAGCCCCTAACGAACGAAATCGTTAGATGAGAGCCAGTGCCATGTGACCTGAAACCTCCTTGTTACCTTTGGTGCTCCCATGACTCTGGCCCCCTGCAACCCTTATCAGTGTCCGAGTCTGGTGCCTCAGCTTGGACTGTAGGGTCATTTTTGCCAGAGGGTGTTTCTGCAGTCAAGCTGAGCTCGAGGAAAGTTGGCCTATTGGAACTATTCATTCATCTGTTCCGCACGATTGCGTGAGTGGTGCCTCACGAGGGGTTGGTGCTAGGACTATGAGGTTGGGAGAGGTGGCAAACCCTGCGCCACAAGCCTTCAAGTACCCTGAGGCGTAGCAACAGTCAGTTTGGCAGGGGCCGACATGGGCCCAACGAGGTCTTCTCGGACAAGACGGGCACTCTCACACAGAATGTGATGGAGTACCGGGCCTGTTCCGTCGGGGGCCGGATCTACGGCCCCTTGGTTGGGCCGAAAGGATGCCCTTGCCCCATTCCGATAGGCAGATCGAAGATGAAAACCCGCAACCCCGCAAGCTTCTAGGCAACCACTTCAGGGCACACCCCCCAGACTGGGCCCTCCACACAACCTTAAAAGCCCGATGTCAGAACAAAGAGCGAACCACTGAACCTCGAGGGCCGAACTCCGAAACCAAGCTTTCTGAAGCCCCTGCGCTGCTGACCCTAGGCCCTAAAAACCCTACGCCCTAAGCCCTCTAAACCCTAAACCCTAAACCCCTAACCCCTAACCCCCAACCCCTAAACCCGAAACCCTAAAAACAAAAAACCAACCCCTAAACCCGAAACCCCAAACCCAAAACCCAAAACCCCTAAACCCCTAAACCCCTAAACCCCTAAACCCCTAACCCCTAACCCCTAACCCCTAAAGCCCCTAAACCCCTAAACCCCTAAACCCCTAAACCCCTAACCCTAAACCCCTAACCCCTAAACCCCTAAACCCCCCCTAAACCCCTAAACCCCTAAACCCCTAAACCCCTAAACCCCTCAACCCCTCAACCCCTCAACCCCTCAACCCCTAAACCCCTAAACCCCTAAACCCCTCAACCCCTCAACCCTAAACCCTAAACCCTAAACGAGGCTTGGAGGAGAGCTCCGAAGGGACGCTCCTGCAAGACGCGCATGCCACCTGGCTTGCGGTGTACTACAGGGTTTGGGGTTTAGGGTTTAGGGTTTGGGGTTTAGGGTTTAGGGTTAGGGTTTGAGGTTTAGGGGTTAGGATTTGGGGTTTTGGGTTTGGGGTTTAGGGTTTAGGGGCCCCCAATAGTATGTCTTTCATCCACGAAACGTACTTCGATAGGTTGGCTTTTGGGATGTTTTCGATTTCCTTATTGGGTTTGTAAGGGACCTATATATAAAATAGTGGCAAAAATCTAAGAATACATTTCTCAGTAATGAATGAGAGCACGAAATTTCAGGGGTTAGGGTTTAGGATTCCTTCTAGTCTAATTATTAATGGCAGCCCAAGATTCAGGGTTTAGGGGTTTAAGATTCTTTCTTGGGGAGGCGGGGGGGGGGGGGGGGGCTGCACCAAGGAACATCCCCAGATTTGGGGGGGTTTGAAGGGCCAACCCTCACCTGGAATCCTTGACAAGGCCAGGCAAGAGGCCTCAAACATCCTTGCGGTTTGAAGTCACATGGGCCCCTCAACCCACCCATGGGAGGGCTGATCTTCTGAATTTATGGACCTTTCTTGGGTACCCTGCGCTATATGAAATCGATACCAATCTTCACATTGAGATTACTATGAATGAACAAGATTCATGCTTAACAATGAATCAATCCACTCTCATCAACGCCACCGCATGACCAGGTCCACTTGCCCGCGGGCCATTTTCTCCAAGATCTGCAAAGTGGCGGCTCACACGCCGACGTTATGGCCTCCTTTGTCCTCTGCCGCTTCGGCCACAGAGAGCTTTGAACCGTAAGCATATGAAGCCCGCCAGCAGAAATGGCAAGACTCATGATCCCAAAACCTGGGGGGTGGGGAACATCTGGGGGGTGGGGTCTTTCACTCTTGATAAAGGGTTCAGGGTTTCAAGTGTACCGTTAGGGTTCGGGGTCTTGGGACAGGGAACGAACTACCCACCAAGCCGACCCCAAGCTTGTAACTCGAAGGCCCAGAACAGAAAACCTTGTAAATCGTGGAGGCCCTGAAGGCCCTTGAGGCCCTAGCCCTCAAGTCCAAAAAGTTCAAGGCTCAGGTCAACAAATAATCTTTACCGCTAGCCTCTCCTTTCGAGCGACTCTCGTTGTTGAGTTCTGTTTGAGCCTTTGAGGGGGGTTGTGTCCTCAAAGGGAGTTTTATGGTTGTTTTCGCTGTATCTTCGAGTCGGCTCAACTGCTCAAGGCCATGCTCTGTGCCACACCGTGGAACCTGCGCCTCGGTTTATTGTTCGGGATGTTTTGGGTTTGAGGAGTTGGTTGTGGACTTGGGGGGTGTAGGGCGGGGGCGACTTGATGCTTGAATTTTGTATGTGGTTGAGATGCTTTGGCTCTCGTTCAGCGTTGTTTTTGTTCCGAAAGTAGTAATCTGGAGTCTCGGGCGTCGTCTCATGGACTGGTGGAATTGATACGACTTTAAGGGGCGCCGATGAGCTGAAAGTTCTTATGGTAGGAGGTGCTTCATGCCTTGCCTAGCAAAGACGTGACGTAGTAACAAAAAAAGGTACGACCACACCTTGCCTGAAAGATCCTCCCCGTGCCCACAGTCTTCAAGGGTCGGGAGTTTCAGCTCCAGGCAGCGACGCAGAATTCTCCTGCCTGGGTCTGACATCCGAGCCTACACCTACACCCCTACAACCTGATGGCGGAGATTCGCTCGAGTGTCGATTATGGACTTAGCATACTACCCAAAACGATTCAACTCTAGAGTCTCTCGTAAACCCTCAAGCCCCAGGCCGCCTGAGCCCAAGCCCGAAGCGAGGCAGACAACAAACGCGCAGAGACACCCTACAACGCGTCCTCGCCGGATGAGCTGGCGCTGGCCCGGCACTCAAAACCTCGGCAGCTTCCAAGTAGTATTGGGATTGCAGGTTCGGGCCGGAGCACCTCCCCATCCCACAACACCACCCCAAGAGAAGTTAAAGGCACGGCCGCAACGTCAAACCTTTCACATGTGCTCTCTTACGTGGGCTTCGTATATCTCGAAAGCTTCCCCTCGACCCAACCTTCTCTTCGGATGTGAAGTTTCCTGGCTTGGGACAATGTGCAAACACTCACTTCTCAAGTGTACCGTGTTCGGAAAATGCGGCTAGACCAGTTCTCAAAATCGCCTGAAGTTCTGATCTGAGAAGCCTCCCTTTGTTTGCGCAGGTTTGTGCGGCGAGGGCGATTGGTTTGGAGCCCGGGCCATAGACGCCTGCTTGTGCTTTGTTTCAGGAGTCGGTCCACGGACACTGGTTGAAATTGAATAGGAGTCGAGTCAAGCAGGCCTACATGATAAGCACGCCATGCTGCAAACAATCGAAGCCACTGCGCTATGAGAAGCCCTCAGGCCTGAACCCGAAGCCCCTTCAATGATTCAAGCCTGAACCCGTGAACCGCCAGTAAGCTGTAGCTCTGAGAACCTGCAGCCCCAAATCCCGAGCAAACCCCTGAACCCTGGGCCCAACACCCACGCTTAACACCTTGAGCTCCCTCCCTAAACCACAGCTTCATCCCAGAAAGCCCCAAAAAAAAAACCCAAAAAAACGCCCTGACCCCTGCAGAGGTTCCTCCTTCTCTCCCCCGAGGGCTTCATGGAGGTGGCGCCTCGGGGCGCCGTCTCCGTGCCCCTTCAGGAGGTGGTGGGCTGGAACCCAGAAGAAGGCAGCGTGGCATCCGAACCATCTGCCGAAATAAGAGTTCTAATTTGGGCCCAACAGTCAAGAAAGGCCAAGTATGAGCCAAAATCACAGCCAGCCAGAACCCTCAGCTGGAGCACCTCCCAGTTCATAGCCATCCACCCCCTCAATAAGGGCCTGAGAGGGTAGGTCAAGAGACTTGGGCGGGGGGGGGGAGTGAAAGCAGGGCTACCATTTTGAGCAGCTGAAATCTGCAGAGACACTACTGTAGACTCCATGACCGCTACACTAGTGACGAGGTATCGGGCCATGCTTGTGAAGTTTGGAGTGTTTTTTTGTTACAAGGCTTTCGATTCCTGAAGCTTACGCGAGCCGGAGAAACCCAAGGCCCAAAGCCCTGCCCGTTCTTTGAGCATAGGATCTCCTCAAGATCGCCTCGGGCGTGAGCACCACATTGGTGAGGGTCCGTAGGGCCCAAAGCCCAAACGCACGCTCACTAGATGCGTTTACTGTGGTTCAAGCCGATTGACCCTATAACCCCTAAGCCCTAAGCCATGCACCCCTAAATCCCAAGCCCTAAATCCTGAAGCACCTCCTTTCCTCATTGCCACCAGGCAAGTTGCTCAAGGCACGCCTGCTTGATGCCACTCGGGCAGAATCCATATCCCCCCATCCTCATCCTTTCCCCGATTCCCCCCCCCCACCCCCGAATTGCCGAAAAATGAAGCTCTGAGGATGGCCCAAGCCCAGCACCCATCCTGCATCACACCAGAACTCTTGAACCTTCAACCGCTTGTGTGGCGTCTTCTTCAGGGCTAAAAGGGTTGTTTGGGGTCTGGAGGAGCAAGGCTCCTCTCAAGCTCAGGGTTGGTGATTTCAGGGCTTGGCTCAGCAAGGCTTCGATTCGCAACCGCAAGCCATCATCCCTTACACCCCACGGCACAGGTTTGTGAGTTCGACAATAACCGCAAGCGGATGTCTGTGGTGGTTCGCCTGCCCAACGACCAAATCATGCTGTGCCTTGGCATCGCTCTGTGCGCAAGCAGACCCGAAGACCCCCAAAAGCCTTCAAAAGCCCTGAAACCCCCAAAGCACTCAACTTGGGCAAACCCCAAGAAGACCTCCCGACAGCCTTGACCCTCCAAGATGCCGGGGCACACGATTTGTTGAAAGTTTAAAGGATTTTGGCCTTGCGGCTTGGAGGTTGGGGCTTCAACCTCGCAGGATTGAGGAGCTAGGACTCAGGGCGTCAGGCCTACATTGGCTGCGCGTCAGCAGGATGAAGGCGCCATGAAATTTTGTGGCCCCATGAAAAGGAGCGATACGCCTGCTCTCATGAAGATCACTGTTCGTCAAATGCCCAGGTACACTAAGGGCGCGGATAGCAGCGTTCTGCCGTTTCTGGCGGATGCCGAGCGCCAGCCCCAGCTTATCCCATGGCATGGGCTGCGACACGTAAGAGGGTTTTTCATAGACCCCATCTTGCGAACAGCAAGGCAAGCTGCAATGTGTAGTTCGTGCGACCCATGAGTCCCATATGCTGCGCACCCTCAAAGGACACATAGACACTATCGGCCTGAGCCCGCAAGCTCGCAGCCTGTGGCCTTATTTTCCTGCAGAAGTTACGGGATCCCTTTTCCCTAAACCCCAACCCATTACGAAGGACGGCGGACCGGCGCCTATGCGAGGAGCACCTCACCGTTTTCGCACGACAAGGACACAGGGCGTTCTGTGGAGCCGAACGTCCCAAAATCTTGGCTTCCCAAGCCTGCAGTCAAAAATAGCGCCTTCGCATGGAAGGGGTAAAGACCTCAAAACGATTCTCAGGCCCCTCTAGAAGCTAGGATCCGCTGGGAGATCCGTTCTGAAGTAGGGGATTTCTAGGGGGGCTTCGGGGTTCAGGGGATTATAGAGGGCTTAGGGGATCAGGGTTCTCGTTTGCGTGGGCATGGGCAAATTGCGTGCGCCGGTCCAAGCCTGTGCATGGCACTCGAACGCATGAACTTCCTTTGGCGGCATGACTTGGACATGTCTTTTTTGGTTCAGGCTTCACTAGACATGTGCTAACCAAAGACTTGGAGGGTTGCTGGATCCAGTTGCCGCGCGGAGGCCTTTCAAGCGCACCAGCACTTGCACAACCCTGACGGCAAGCTGCCAAGTCCCAAACCATCCCAAACCTTCAAAACCCTGAAAAACCCTGCAACGAGAAATCGAGCGGAGGCCTGCGAACGCTGTGCCTGGCCGAGCGCGCCGTGAGTGCAGAGGAGTGGCCATGGCTCAGTTAGGGGTGGGAGGGGGGGGGGGCAGCTCTACCCGAAACCCCAATGCCCATACACCCTAAATAGGCGAACCCTTAGGTTTCTGCCGGACAACTCCTTGCGGAAGTACTGAAAACGCAGATGCTATTCAGTTCTCTTCTCATGCTATGTCTGCCTTCTACTTCCCTACCCCAGGAGCCTTAGGCCTGGACCCTGCCTGCAAGTGACTGTCCCCGTTTGCCCTGCAGTCTTCCCGCCGGCGGCTCTTAGGCCCGCAGGCACAGCTTGGAAGCACTCGATGTGACTACCACACATGTTCAGAGCCAGGAAGTTGCCTTGCAAGAAGCCGCAAGGCAGGACAAGACTACTAACAAGCCACTGTTGACAGCTATCTGAAGCCCCTCCAAGTCTCTCCGGCCCATAGGCATCATTTGCAAGAACAGCTGTTGACTTATAAAGATCCCCAAAGCCGTGAGCACCACAGAGCTAGAAGTGTCGTTCCATGCCTCCGAGATGATACGGGCCCTCACGCTGGGTGGAAAAGTACTCGCAGCAGTGCCAACACAGGAGATCACCAATGTGCGAAGCTTGAAGCTGCACGTGGCAAAGTTGCACGGAGTCCCACGCTTCAGACAAAGAGTCTTTATAGGCAATAAGGCCACAGAGGACGACGCAGCGCTGGATGCGCCAACTGACTTCCAGCTAATCTTCCTGGAGTTCGCCACCATGTCTCCAGAGCAAGCCTTCAAGCTTACCAAAGCTTCTGGATATGGCTGCGCCGATGAGGTTGAAAAGCTCTTGCAAATCCCTTTGAATCCCAACTCAGCCAACGTCGAAGAGTGGGGCCCACTTCTTGCGGCCGCAGACCATGGACATCTTGAGGTCGTAGATTTGTTGCTTGAGGCAAGGGCTGACCCTGTATTCCAAGGCTTCGAGGGCACAGCTCTTGTGCTTGCCGGTGAAAGAGGGCACGTTGACATTACCAGGTCATTGTTGAAAGCTGGGGCTGGCATGGAAGTGTCGGAGAGGCACTGGGCAATATATCGCACCAGTTTTGGTTTCCGCAAAGAAGCGTGTGACGAATGTGTGAAGTTGCTGGTTGCGGCTGACCTAGAGGATTGCCGCGGGCGGAGGGGTCTCATATCAGCATCAAAGGACGCCATGGTGAAGGTGGTGCGTTTGCTGGTGAAGGCCAGATGCAATCCTGACCTGGTCGATGAAACCGGCCGTACTGCCCTCATGTGGGCTGCATTAAACTATAACGCAGTCTACGGTAATCATATCAGAGTGGCCCGTTTGTTGCTCAGAGCTGGTGCTGGCAAGGACTTGGTGGACAACCAAGGTAATTCAGCTCTCACTCTCGCATCTGACCAAGGCAACGTCGAGATGGTACGTCTGCTGCTCGCAGCGGGTGCTGACAGGACTTTGAAAAACCATGGTGGCTTCACCGCCCGGCAGATCGCCTCGGACCTAGGCTGGGCAGAGGCTGAAGATGTCCTGTCAGCCAAAGTCACGAAACAGCAGCAGTCAGCGCACAAGAGGGACTTGGAACGTGAGTGGGTGCATCGGAGTGTCTGAGACACTATTTGAGAGGTACTGAAAATACGACAGGCGCGTACTTTACGCCTATCATATAGGCGTAAAGCACGGCAGCTTGGAGCATCACGAAGACCACCTGGAGCTGGAGCCCATGTTTGGCAATCGTCGAAGTGTGCACTGGCGGAACCACGTCTTTGCCGACCTAAGAAACTGCCATCGCCACGTGCCCTGAATCAACCCCGTTGCGTATATGTCATTTTTGGTAAGGTGACACCATGAGCGATATAATGATAAGCCCTAAGCGTACCTTTCAGCTATTCTGTGTTGACATAGCAGGAAGATGGGGACTGTCGGCGCGGGCATTTCCAGACGAAGCGATGGGTGCGTCAAGTTCCTGCGCCTGGAGAGGCCGACGGCATTGGCAGGAAGTATGTTGCCCACATGGACCAGGGCCTTCCTGCGTACGCTTACCCACAGACCAGGTGGGATAAACAGCTCGCGGCAAGGTCCAGGAAGCTACTCCTCAGACGGGAGCGCGTGTTGCAAGACCACTCGAGCTCCGACAGCTCCACAGACAGCACCAGTTCGTCTAGCAGCTCCTCTTCTAGCAGCTGAGACAGGCCGCACTGAAGAAAAGCAGGTGCAGCCGCAGTTTAGGGGTTTAGGATGTCAGTTGCAGAGGGAGGGTTAGGGATTTAGCTGGAGGGTTTAGGGTGTAGGGGTTTAGGGCATTTCAGGACCGAGGGTTTGCAGTGAATTCCAGGTGGACATGTGCTAAACATGAGGGCCGCGCAAGACTGCGCAAGGGCGAAGCGTCAGGAATAGCTTTACTAAAGGAGCGGCCCTTGAACGAAGAGCAACCCCGGGGCCCATATGCATGTTTTCGGTGGGGGGGGGGGGGGGGGGGGCGCCAGACTGCGCAGAGTGCGCGCGCGTTTCAGGTGGTCCCTAAAACCCTAACCCCGAATAGCCCAAGGGGTGTCTTGGTTGCTGACTTCACCGCGACCGTTTGGGGATCATTTGGGGATGAGGGGCTCTTAGGCACTTTTCAGGGATTAGCGCTTTCCGGGATTTAGGGCTTTAGTGTTTCTAACTCATCCTCCACTTTTGGTTTCAAACGCCACCTCGACTTCTTGGGAATTAATTTACATCACCACATCCCAGCAACGATCTCGCGAAGTCGCCCCAAAATATTGATGTTCTTTGCCCCGAAGGCACGAAGAGACTGTGCAACATCGATGAGCTGGAAATCCCAAAAGGAATATGCAACGCAATGGAGCTTCATAAGCCTAGGCGCTACTTGGTTTAGTTCTCAGGTGTGGGTTGATAAGCGGTCATCTGAGGCATGCGGATTGGCACAAGCGCTACGAGGTGGCCAAAGCTTTAGTCACCGAGGACCTGACTTGGAAGTTTCATGGCTTTTGTTTTTTTGATTTCAGTCTTTTTCCGCACGAGCACTAACGAAGCAAGTCCGAAGGACAGAGCAGACAAGATCCACGAGTTGGTGGTTGAGCTTGAGACGCCTCTCAGACGCAGATTCGGTTTAGGTTTTTTTGGGTTTACGGTTTAGGGTTCAGAAAGGTTGGCCCCAGAGATCTGAAGACCTCAGCGCCAGGAGGACGGGAGAAGGTTTGTCAAGGGAGGTTTGAGACTTAAGATGGTGGTTGTGGGGGACCGCGCGTGTAGTTTTGGGTGCTTTCATTCGTGCACGCGCACATGTTGCCACAGGCAGGAGGAACGAACCCAACAGCAAGATTTTTTGTTGACCAGGGGGGTTCACATTCCCGAAAAGATCACAGCTCTAGCTCATAGACCCCACTTATTCCCTTTGGTACATGGCCCAAGGAAACAGCCTTTGAAACTGCTGGGCGCGACTGCGATCGAGGATCCGTGGGCCTTCTGTAAGGCTTTAAGGGCCCCAGTGGAGAAGTGTGGGTTTGAGGCTCGGGAGTTTCAAGGTTTCGGTGGACGCCTAAAACCTGAACTCCCAAACCAAACCGCACAACCTGTCTGCCCGTACCTTCTCCAAGCATCCGTACGTAAGCATTCAGGCAGAGCTTGAAACTTCGGGCTTTGCGGTTTCGGGATGAAGGGCACAAGTTGCGGTTTACGCTTGCAAGGGGCTTGTGTAAGCATTGATTGTGACAGGAGACTTACTATTTGCTTGATCTCTCGAGCCCAGATTCCCGCGCAGTATTATGGCTGCGAGAAGGGCAGAATTTTCATTGAGCCGAGCCACCGCCTCTGAAAGGCCAAATGTTACAGGCACCCTCCTACTGTTATTGAGAGTTGGGCTGGTTTGGGGTTCAGGGTGCGGAAGGGTTGGATTTAAGGCTCTAGGATTTCGGGGTCGCTGTTCGACGAGTTTAGTCGACAGGAACCTGCAACGCCTACAAACCTCCTCCTCACGACCCACCAAGCCCCCTGCAACTTCTGAAGCCCTCTATACTCTCCTGAAGCTCTAAGGCCCCCAACTCGTAAAATGTAGTCCGTACACAGTACACACCCCAAGCTCCTGACCACATGACGCCGCAAGGACCGACTGCAGGATGAGGTTGCAGACACGATTGCGCAGCGGCTCGGCGGGATTGCGCCAAGGGTTCGCGAGGTTTAGTTTAGGGTTCTGAGTTCTGAGTTCTGAGTTCTAGGGAAGTTTCGAGTTCAGGATTGCGGATTCTGGGTATACTCGTTTATAAATAGGGTTTAGGTTTGAGGGTTCCTGCTTCAGGGTTTGAACCTCAGCATCTCTGTGGGCTCGGAGCTCAAGATGTGTTTAAGGGTTCAGTTTCCGGGAGCCTTTGTGTGAAGTGTTGAGGAGTTTGCCAGACGCAACGTTTTGTTAACGAAAAGGACTCAAGGCGCCCTTGGCCGTCGGAATGGAGTCGGGGGTGTTGAAAAGGTGAATGGGGCTCTGGGCTGAGGGATTTGGATAGTCATGATGCCGAGGAGTTTAGGGCCTCAGACCATAGGCCGGTGTCGGGAATCGCAAACTATCTCAGGACTCCGCCGGCAAGCGCCACCCAGGGTGGCCTTAAACCCTAAAAACCCTGGGCCCTAAACCTTCCGCCCCTGAGCCCCCCGGCCCAGCTTAGAAGCCCCTCTCTGGCAAAAAGGCTACGGGCTGCTGGCATCCGCGTGGCTTGGGCTCTGGTGAAAAGCTTTAAGCTTAGAGGTTGGGGCAACAAGGGTTTCGAGGGGCTTTCAGTTGTTATAGGGCTTCTAAAGTTCAGGGCTTGGTGCAGGGCGCAAGGGCTTGTAGAGGTTTGCAAGTAGGGTTTGAAGCTCAAAAGACATGGCCTATCCTTGCCATAGGGTTCAAGTTGGGAGGGTTAGTGGATTGAGTGATCAGAGATGGTTCATAGAGGGGATACTTTTGTTTTGGTTGGGGTGATTAATTGTAGAGTTTATCGAAGATTTGGGTTGAAATAGGGAGTGGGCCTCCAGGTCTTTAATTTCTGGCTCATTTTTCGGGTTCAGTGTTTAGGGCTATTGGGGTTTGGAGAACGCGCTTTGCCGCACCCTGGCCTGACCCTGAACCCTATAAAATACTTTAGGGACGAGCGTGGCCCGAACCTGAGACTGTCTGAGGTCTGGGTTCTGACGGGTGACAAGGTGGACACGGCGATTTCCATTGCCATGTCCTGCTACGTGGCCTCAGTTGTGGTCGTTTTGTAGTTTCGCCTTCGGCCGAGTCAAGTTTTGAACCTGAGTCTTAGCTACCTTCAGCTTGCGAAGTCTGCGGTAGTCGATCTTATCTTTCAGGCTGGCGTTGGGGCTACTTCACGTGATGGGTGCTCCATGAATACCTCCCATGATCCTAGAGGTGCCCTTTAACGAAAGCCTGAGGCCTTGAGGGCTGGAAGAAACATCGTCGAAGCCGTTGGAGTTGGAGTAGACTCTCTGAGTAGACATGCTTTTGTTTGAGTGGTGGGCGCGCGGTGCTAGGGCCCTGGCCTAGTTCTTAAATTGGGATGTTCCCCCTTATTCTAACAGTCGTGAAGCGGGAGCAAAGTACGCCCCTGATTTTCATCCCTATTCAGGACTGGTAGGACTCCTTAGCGTCATACAGCCGCCATCCTGATGAGCCCTCCGCAGCCCAGGCCAGCTCCTCACTGAGGAAATGGACAACTTCGTCATCGATGGGGACTCGGAGCAATCGTGCCTTGCTCAAATGCGCACACGGACAAGAGAGCGAGAGATGATGAATGAAAAGAGAGAGAGAGAGAGAGAGGAAAAAGCAAAGAAAGCGAAAAGAGATGCCTAAGCTCCCCAAAGTCCCTAAACCCCTAAACACCTAAAACCAGTTTAGTTGAAGAGCTCCTTTGTGCTCGAGGTAAGGGAGTGGGTGGAATATTGGGCTCTCTTTATTGAGGGCTGTCGGGGTATGTCGGGGTGGGGCACGTGCCCCTAAATCCTCAAGCCGAGAACCTTTCAAGCCTCTGAGCTGCCGTTCAGCGCTGAGAGTTTAGGGAGTTCGGGTTTCAGGGCTTTGGGTTTAGGGTTTGGGTGTTAAGGTTTAGGGCTTCACAAACCCTGCAATTCAAAACGGCCCTGGTGCTTGACCACAAACCCGCTAACCGCCTGCCATGTGGGTCTGAGTGATTTGGGGTGAAGCTTCCCGAGTGTAAGGCCCCATTAAAGCCAAACCCTGAACCCCACCCTCCACTTCAAAACCCCAAAAACGCTTCGCAGGCTCTTGGAGGTGCTCACCGAGGCGCTTCAGTCGGACCGGCCGGCCCTGACGATCGCAGGCGCTCTCTGTGAAAGAGAGTCTCTGTCTGTGTGTGTGTGTGTGTGTGTGCGTCGTTGGTTGAAGTCATTTCTGTTTTGTTGTTGTGTGTTGTTGGGCTTTGGCGTTTACAGTAGGACTTAGGGTTTGGAGCTCGGGGGTATTTAGGGCCTTCAGGGTTTATGCCTTTACACTGTTGCTTAGTGCGGTGTCTTCGCGTTGGCAGAGGTGGAAGTCTACAAACCCTGAGCTCTCGGTATTGTGGATGGGGCTTCTGTGGTTTAATTCCCACTCACACTAGACCTTGAAGTCTAAACCCTGAACCCTCCACCAAAACCCTGAGTACTAAACTCAATAAAGTTTGAAACCTGAAACACCCCAAAGCCCATGTCCCTTGTGCTTTCAGCCTCTCCCAAGAAACCTAAAGTTGCCCGAGCTTCGTAGGGAGATCGAGTCCCCAACCCCCCCCTCGTAGCAGCCCAATGCCTCGACGCCTTTCATTTTCACAGTATGGTTTAGGGTTTCGGTTTAGGGTTTGTGTAGGTTTCGAGGTAGGGCTTAGGGCCTTAGGGCCACAGATGCTTCTCTGAGGTTCCCGCCTGGCAGAGGCTCTGGAGTCAGAAGATGATCGGGCACTGCTTTTCAAAGTTGCCTGGATGCTGAAGCGTCTTCACAAAGAGGACTCGTGCTGTAGGTTTTGTTGGGTTATACTGCAAGATGTGTTGGATTGAGCGGTTTCGGGTCTCGGCTTGCTGGGAGTAGGGGCACCTAAACACTGCCCCGAGCCCAGAAGCTTCATCTTTGCAGCTTCCAAGGTGGGACAGCGCTGCAGGCCGCCTACAAAGTGACTAAGGGTTGAGGTGTAGGTGGTCGGTCTTGGATGCCGAGGCTGGGATTTGCAAGTTGAGGGTTCGAGGTTTAGGGCTTCTGGGCGAACCGAAGCAGGCAGACATCGGCAGCGAATAGAGTGCTTTGGAACAGAAGCTGGGGGAACAACGGCAAGCTTAGGCCTTCAAGGCTTGTTGAGGGTCAGGACCGGGAGAAGGGCCACTTCTAGGTGGGATCCAAGAGTTCTGAGGCCTAGGCCCGAGGGTGTGCGGGGAGGTGGGGGGGGGGGGGGTGTGTGGGCATCCGTTCTTAGGTTATTATATGATTTGTTTCTTGTGGGATGTGTTTTTGTTTTCTGCCTCTTGCTTTACGCTTTTCGGGTCTAGGGTGTTAGGGTATAGGGGTTAGGGTTTGGGGTTTCGGGTTTATAACCTATCAAACCCTAAAGGGCTACGGTGCAGCCAGCAGCAACAACAAACAACAGATCCCAACACCGAAACAAGAATTCCCAAAGCAAAACCTGGAATCTGGACCCCCCTGCTTCTGGCAGGTCGACACTTGGCCCCAGGCTCCCCGCCACAATACTAAAAGGTCTGAACCCGAAGCCCGAAGTTAACCTTCTTCTAGGGATACAGGAGGGCCCGAACACGAGGCCCATTGTTGCTGTTGACTCTTGGCGCCCGGCAAGTCCCATGGCAAAGCCGAAGCCATGTACCCCTCCGCCCGTCACAATGTAGCCAACACCCCAACCCTTACTTCGCCAATAGTTGTTTCTCTTTCTTTTCATTAGCGTTATGGCGTTTGCCTTTGCATTGACCATGCAGCTTAGCCCTTTGTATTTCTCCATTTGTTGTGGAATTAGGCAAACTCCACATGTTGAGCCCCGAAACCTTAGCTCCACGCGGAAGATCTGTGGTTTGCTGCCGTGTCTCGCCGAAGCAGAAGGCCGACGTTGTGGACCTCGTTTCCTGGCAAACGGGAAGCTCAGGGCTTTATGGGGTTCAGGTCTTAAGTTTAATAAGGTCCTTCAGGGTTTGTTTGCTGTTTTTTTCGGGGGGCCAGCGGGGGGGGGGGGGGGGTGGGGGGGCGCAAGGTGTCTTCAGGGTTGTAGATGGCTAGTTTCGGAGTCTCGAGGGCGAGGGTTTAAGATGTTTTCAGGGCTTTAAGGTTCTCAGTGTTCTTGCTGTTCAAGCTTAGGTTTAAGGCAACTTCAGTCTTGCACGTGGCTAGCTGGGTGACGGAAGGTTTTGGGTTTTGCCTTTTTTTGGAGTTCAGCCGGTTCGGAGAGCGGTTCCTCTGGAAAAAGAATTGCGGGAAGGATGTCGGGCTGTTGTCTCAAGCAAGAAAGACCTTGGAGCTTGAAGCGAGAGAAGGTTTGGCATGCTCAAAGCCTATAAGCCCGAAGCCTTCAACCGCTCAGCCCAACCCCCTAAGCCCTTTCCCCTGAGAGGTGTAGTTTGGGACATCTTCCCCCCCCCCCCCCCCAAACGCTCGATTCACCTGCAGGAATCCAGAGTCGCAGGTTTGTCCCCAGACTTATGATGGTCTTGGGATCCCGAGACCCTAAGCTCTAAACCCTAAACCCGAAACCCTAAACCCTAAACCCTAAACCCTAAACCCTAAACCCTAAACCCTAAACCCTAAACCCCAAGTCTGAAGGTCAAGTCCTTGGACCACTCCGCGGTGACGCTGTCCATTGGCGACGGGGTGACTTGCCCTGTGGGCTGAAGGCTTGGGGGAAAGCCAGAAACCATAAGTCTCCTCCCCACCCGCATATACATTAAAAACATGTGTGAATATATATATATATATATAAAAAATATATATATATATAGTATATATATATATATATATATATTTTGGTGTAAGTAAGTAAACACTATACTCGTGTCTATATGTACCTATTGATTAACAAATTCGTAAATATCTGCACACCTTAGAGCCCCAGACCTGAAGGCTTAATCCCCCAAAAAAACCAGCCCTGGCCCTACAAACCCATCACGCCACCCAAGCCGGAATGGCCTGAGAGTCCTGGGGTAGGGAGCCTTCTGGGGGCTCAGGGAGTTTAGGGCCTTAAGATAGGGTTGAACCTCCACCAGATGATCCGAAGTCGCAGAGTCCCTGCGCGAAGCCTTAGGCGAACGATGTGTCCATGATCGTCGCTGCGCATGTGGGCGTCGGGCTCTCCGGAAAGGACACGGATTCCTCCGCTGAGCCTGACAGACATGCCATTCTCAGCCCCTCAAGCCTTAGATCAACCCTACATAAGTCGCATCCTCGAAGGTGAATTTTCCACCCAACTCGCTGTTGGTTCGTTTCTCTTACCAGCTGAGTTCAAGGCGTGGGCCTCTGTCAGAACTTTGCAAGGGTTTACGAACGTTTCGAGCGCAACTAATTGGATGCTATTGTGCATCACAATGGCCAGAAGGTAGGCCCCTGACCCCCTAAATCCTGAAACCAACATCCTAATCCCCGAGCCCTGACTAGTTAACTTTCTCGAAGCCTGAAGACATTCTAGCCGGCAAGCGCTCAATAATTCCAGGACTTCACCCCCCAGAACTCTCAACCCCTAACCTGGACCCTCCAGGCAAAACCACCGTGAACTCCCAAATCCCTCTAAGTCCTCTGGGCACTCACCCTTAAACCCTGAGGAAACCCAACTAGAAACCCCCCTAAGCCCCTAAACCGTTTTCGCCCTGGACCCTAAACCCCTGAGCCCTGAACTGCAGGAAGGTGCACAAGCCGCCTACGCTGCCGACTTTGCATTGCCCGAGTTCCGGCTCCTTCGCCCCAGGTTAGGGCCTTTTTTGGGGCTGAAAAAGCTTTGGGAGCTTTTCTATTCCCGTTCTTGGGTACCTATAGAAGCCCTTAAAGGCTTAAGCTGGCCGTCCGAAAAAAGGCACCCGACAGCAAGTGAGCCAAGGTTGCTCAAGAGGTCCATCTTCGCTCACGGTCGCGAGGCATACCGCCGGAATGCGGTCGTCTGCTTGTACAGCTTCTACAAGAACCAGGCAGGGAGAAGGGCCAGAATGTAGGGTTTGAGCAGTGCTGGTTTTTGTAGGGTTTTGGGTTCACGGGGTGTAGGATGGGCTTTTTCCAGGCCATTTCGGGTTTAGGTCTTTGCGGTGACTTACGAACCCCCTAAGACCCCACAGACTCAACCCCGGGCCCTGCTTTCCCAAAGATTAAGCCATTAAGCCTCCCGTACACCCAACTTTCAACCGTTCGAAGGGTCGGGGTTCCGGTCATAATGGGGTCCAGCCCATTGGGGCACACCCCCAATCCCTGAAGCCTTCCATATCTCAGCTCTGGCAGGCTAATGTGCTCATCACCATCTTCGCCGCTGCTGGAAATGCCTTCTCTGGCAGCAACGCCACTTCGACCCACGGGTCGGATTCGGTTTACCCTACAAAGGAGCTTTCAAGGTCTAAATTAGGGTAAGCAGAAGGGTTTGTCGCGCTTTGGGGCTTTGGGGCTTTGGGGCTTTTGGGCTTGACGTTTCCAGATTTTAGAGGCATCTTTTGCCTTTGCCCGTGCAGGTTTGCGGTCATGTTTATGGCTTCGAAAGCCTATAATACAAAAAGCCTGTACACCGTAAACCCAAGTTGGCCCAAGCACGCGCCCTTCGTGATGTGACATTCAAGTGCCCACTTTCCCAAACTACGACAGGCCCAGCAAAGCGTCCATGCAGCCAATTTGGTTGCTGCTCCTGAAGGAATCATGGTTTAGATAAAACGGGCTGCACGAAGCAAGTAGCTTTATCATGGCTCGATGGTTTAGGTAGTCTGCCTTCCGGATGTCAGACCCAGGTAGTGAACCCTTGGCTGATGCAATGCTACAACCTTGTGCATTGCCACGTGCCGCTCTTTCTCTACGGCATGTACGATAGGCTCTTCCTGCAGGGTGGGGGCTGCTTTGTCAAGATCCTTAGCCCACCCAAAAACCCAGAATTTGCCATTCAACCGTTGCTCATCTGTTTAGCCATTGCCGGGGCTGGTTAGCTCAAGAACATGCAGCTCCCTGTTTTGATTCGAGGTCAGATTGCCACGGGTTTGGCATTTTTGAACTCGAAAGCTGAAGTTAGGTCGAGTTGGAGGAACCACTACAAAACCTATATGCATCTGCCATCCCCACAACTTTACTCCCGGAGGGCGTCGGACTTGGCAGACCTGACGGACGAGCCTTGGCAAGCTTCCCTGCTTGGGTGCTGAGATGTTTCGAGGTCTTGCAACCCGGCAACGCTACACCCCAATCAAATTGAAGCTCTTTGCGCCCCTTCCGTGCCAGAATTTCACTGTGTCGTTGCATGGGATGGGTTTCAGAGCTGCGCTTGGTGCGACCAAGAGATTTCTCTTGAGAGTTATGGCTTTCGGCAATTTCAATCAGGATGCATGCAGTTGCAAAGGGCAAAGGGTATCGCTCAGTCAGAGACATTGTCTGTAGAAATGTAAGCATAGGAAAGCTTCCCATTTAAACATAGGCAGCGCATCGCTTTATTCAACTTCTCTGAGGAGCCCGAGGGCCACGCTCCGAACCTCTTTGGCTACGAGTCTCGGCGCATGCGAAACCTTCAACCAGCTTTCATGCTTAGGATGTTGCCCCTGGGCCCAAAAGAACCCCAAACTAAGCCCGTATCAGGCCCCCATCGGTGTGGGAATCCTGGGTTTATGGAGGGTTGAGGGGGTAGGGCCTTCAGGCTTACTAGGCAAGGAAACCCGACACCCCAAGCCACTTTAAGAAAGAATGCATTCCTGCAGTCTGACTCCCCCCCCCCCCCCCCCCCCCCCCCCCCGCGCCCCGCCCCCCGAAACAAGAAACCCACAACCCGAACTTTCGACATCAGGACATCCAGCTGGTCTGGATGGCGGCGGCTGCACTCCAGGCGACACTGATTCGCGCGCTCTGGTGCTCATCCACTCTGGGGCTTGCAGGCCATCGGAACGAGGGCTTCAGTAGCTTCGGGGTGTTGGGGCGGAAGGAAGTTCAGGGTTTTCGGGTTCTAGGGGTTTCGGGTAGAGAGGGCTTAGCATCGTTTAGGGCATGTATTTGAGAGGTTTGTATTCTTCGTGGGGCTTAGTCGTGGCGTCTTCAGGGGTTTAGATTTTCAGTTCTTTAGCGCCGGCAAAGAGCTGTGCTTGTCTATTACCATGCGAGCGAAGTTGGGATTCGGTTTGCTGCAAAATAGCTAGACTGTGTGCTTGTAAGCTCGCCAGGCCCTGGTATCTTGTTGGCCTAGCGGCATACGCCACAACTCTACAAGAGAGTGCGAGCCTCTGCACGTGCACGTGCGTGCAGGTGAGGTTGGTCCCGACCTTTCCCAGAGCGCGATCTTGGGTAACCTCTGCTTTATTTCCGTGGTGCTGTGCGTGCGACTTGTCTCGAATCTTCTTCAGGTGCCCCAACCTCATTGAAGCCATGAAGCCCCTCAATCGATTGCTTCTGGAGTCTGTAATGCTGGGATTCTCGCCGCGTCACAAGGCCTTTAAAACCTTTAAGACCAAGGCCTGGGCACTTCAATTGTGCCGGCACCCAGAAACCAAGTGGAGTTTGGTCTATAGGCTACAGGGCCCCTCGAAAAGAAGAAACACCCAAGCAGCAATCTTCAAGTTGCAAACATCCCGTATTAAGCCAAAGTCTGACTATCAGCTTTTGGATCTTGGTTCCCTTCCGACTGAGGAACGTCACGCTGATGCTGCGGCAGTATAGCTGGCCGCTGCCTTAGAGAAGCGAATGCGAGCACTCTAATGGTTATATAAGGGTATATAAATTGTATTAAGCATAACATAGTATAGTCTAACAGAATACCATCAATATGGTATATTCCAGAATGCGATTTCGTGCAAGAGTGTGTATATATATATATGTATGTACATATATACATATATGTACACACACACACCATGTTTGGCTTCAAGTGGCATTGACAGAACCCTATTGACTATCTGGGACGCAGTTGCGGCTAATTGTGGTAGGAAGCGCCGTTCCGATTCAATTAAGAAGTTCACGGCGGTTGCTGTTGCGAGTGGGGGATTGTCTTCAGAGCTTTGCACGTTTCGACGCTCAGCCTGATAGTGTCTTGTGATTTTGGTATCGGCCGTGTGTACGTATGGATGGGGGCTTAGGTGTAAGTAAATAGACCGGAAGATTTGTGGGCCGCTGAGCAGATCTTTTCTCGCAAGGTCTAGATGGATCGCGCTGACATACCTGTTAAACTTCATCGGCTTGATTGTCACCTTGGCCATGTTTGTTCCAGGACCGCCATAGGGATCCATCCCTGCCAGGGGTTTGCTCCCGAAATCTGAACCCTATGCCCTAAACCTGATTTGTGCGACCGGAGGGGATTGTTGGGGCTGTTCTGTTTGTGAGGGCAGACAGGCGAAGGCAGAGATTGCAACACCGGCCAAGAAGTGTATGATGAAAGACCCTGGGAAGCAGAGCGTGATGCCATGATGTGCTTTGTGCTGCAAAACCCTCCAAAAAAGGGTTCTGAGAGCCTTCGGGAAAGAAATCGAGGAGATATCTGGCCTCCGGATGTGTAGGCCAAGGTTCAAGGTTTAAAGCTTGGGTGGGTTGCAGGGTTTGAACAACCTGCAATTCCAGGTTGTTATGAAGGGTTCTGACCCGAGATCCTGGACAGCAAGCCCCCAAACCCACAAGGCTAAGAGATCCTCTCCAGACCCACTCCGGAGGACTGGTCCAGGTCTTCGAGGGTACCAACTTCCTCCGAGTGAGCTGCGAAGCCGTTGACTGTGAGCTTTCTAGGGTTCAGGGTCCAAGAGGCTTCTGAAGGCGGCCTTTGGCCAAGCCCACAAGCCGCTTGAGCTAGATAGGCTGCGATCCAGCCACAAATAGCTCAAGTCGGAAAGTTGCAGAGGAACAGCAGGTGATGTTTGCATCTGTTTTGAAGGCTCCTCCGTCCTCCGTTTGCAAGCCTTGTAGGGGCCAGCCGGCCAACCGTCACCTGGACCTAGCTGTTGGGATCCCTACACACTAAACAAACTCTAAACGCTCTTGAATCCAAGGTCTGATTTGTATAGTGACCCTTGTCCTCACCACCCTCATCGGAGAGATCTTGATCCTATCGGCCGAGCTGCTCCTTGGGTGCAGTTGGGCGCCTCAAGCCCCTTTTAGTACCCTGAACGGCGGATATCTGGCCCCTCTTGTGTTACTTTTGGTACCAGAACTGGCTGTCGGGGCGGCGCGGGGTACCTTGAACCCAAAACCTTAAAGCCCCAACAGTGTTCCTCAGCGGCTAGAATCTCAGATCTTTCGGTATCCTCAACAACGGCTGAGGTTCATGTCCGGTGTCGATAGCGGCGAGGACGAGAAGAGCAACCCTGCATGATAGCCCACACCTTGGGGTTGGAGTTGGCTTCGACAGGTCTGCGTCGGGATTTGCACGATTTGAGCATTGATTCCCACAACCTCCCTGTTAGGATTAGATTTACCGTTTGCTAGCCTAACCTGAAAAGAATCACCAGAGGTCTGGTCCAGGTTGTGCACGTGATGCCGGCAGCGGCCCCCTGGGCTGCTTCAGAAGGTTGCTTCAGTTCCCTAAAGTTTGGCCCTTTGAGTTTGGGGCAGGGCGGGGGGGGGCAAGGAGAGGCGACCCAAACCAGACACCCGAGTCTCCAAAACATGAGACCCGGATGCTGCCCCAAACGGTACCAAAACACTGCTCGGCGACTCTCGAAAGTATCCCAATTGGAACATAACTTTTTTTTGTAAGGGGCCGTACTGTACAGTAACAGGGACGGTCTGATGCACCTTTCGTGTGTGTGTGTGTGTGTGTGTGTGTTTGTTTTCGTGTTCGTGTGGGGACAGAGAGAGAGAGAGAGTCATTGTTCATTGCCGTTCGGAAGGTGTGGTTTCTTCCCTCGGCCCCGGAGGAGTTGTCCCAATTCCAGACCGCGAAATGACATCCCAATCGGTATGATGTGCGTTCCCACCGAAGGATGTTTGTTCCATCCCCCCTCCCACGAAAGCCTGCCCCACCCGACCTAGACTAAGCCCCAAAGCTTAAAGTGCAAAGCCTAAAGCTGTACAAGTTTCATGTGGTTGTCCATGCAAAGCCCCTGGGTAAGCAAATACCCTCGGGTTTGAAAAAACTCTAGGGATAAGAGCACGCTGTCTGAGGAGCCGCTGCAGCCCTTTCAGTCGCAGACAGTACCGGATCTGGAGATGTCGCGCAAGGGCCATTTGGACTTGAGAGAGTACTCGGTGCATGTTTTTTGTGTTTACGCTGGGATCTAGCAAAGTGTTAGGGCCTCTCAGAAGACCCCTCCTAAAGCCCCGAACGCTGCCTTGCGGTGTTACAGTCGCTGGCCCCATAAATCCATAAACCATGGATCTGCAAAACATACAACACCAACCACTCCGAAGACCGCGAATCCCTCCATCCCCTTGCAGGTTCGAACTCGAGTCGGCTCAGTGTCAGTGCCAGGCGGTCCAGCTTGGGCTACGCCTACTCCGAGGCATTGAGAGCTTCAGCATCTCGTGCTTTTGGTGAGATTTGGTTTAGGGTTGAGGATGCGCCTGAAAGCTCAGGATTTTAATTTCCGAGTTGTTGAAAGACACAAGGCTGAACACATTAGGTTCGCCGTCTCAAGCTCGCGTCAGAGGCACTTTTGGCTTTCTGAAGGCGTCCAGGGCTGTTTCGGGGGCCTTAGAGACTAAGGGGTTGGGGCTTAGGGTTAGCGTGCGCTGACAGATGATCTAGGCAGCCGGAGGCCCCTCAGGGGTTTTTATTGGCCGTCGGGCGCCTGCAAAACATGTAATGGGACGCAGACCTAGAGTGTCTGCTTGCACCACTACCCCGAAGCCCACAAGCCCCAAACCTCAAGCTCTAAAACCCCAAGTGGCTCTGAAACTCCCAAAACACCTCACACCTTGGTGATGACCCCAAACCTCCCTTAACCCTAGCACCTGAACACCCGAACACCCTGGAAGCTCTGTAGGAGTGCTCCCTGGAGCGAGAGAAAGAGCGTTGGAGCCACATGGCCGTGCCGTCTCAGGCCAGGGGAACTGTGTTGCAGCATCCAGAGCCTCCACTCCACCCTTCAGGGGGCCGTGTAGAGTTTTACAGGTGAAATGACAGCCTGACATGTCAACCATCATCATGGCTCAGGGAATCGAAGCCGGCCGAACATTCTACGCACTAATGTCTTGCCCCGGCTGAGTTGTTGTTTGAAGGGGGGGGGGGGGAACTGGCAAGGCCAAACCCTAAACAAGCCCCGCAACATCTGATTTATCCTAAGCCCTAAACAACCCCTAAACAAAGTGCTGGAGCACAAGCACCCCAAACCCTGAAACCCTACCGCAACACCGAAGTCCTCGTCAGCAAGTTTCCTGCGCCAGGTGTCGTGCGCCGTGCCGTCATCCGCCCGCTTCGCTTGTCAGCCGCTTCTCCGGCAGGGACAAATCGCAGGGCTTCGGGTTGGATATTTACGGCCTTGGACCACAACGCAAAACTGAGTAATCGAGGAAGCTCTCTATGGGCAGAGCATGATCCCGGAGGCTGCGCACTGCTTTTTCATACTCACATACTCAACGCGGCCTTTCAAGGCTTCCGTTTCCCTACTTCCCTTCCACGCCTCTTTGGGCTTCATGTACCAAGGAAGCCTTGGGCCTCGGGCCAACCGGCAGAGCTCCAGACCTCCTCCACATACTAAGGTAGTACCACCTAAGCACGGGGACCCCGGAACGGAGGCCTTTATCCAGGATAACAGGGCCAAGTGCCCATTGGTAACGGGTTCGGGAGCGGGCGCTGTGCTGGAGGTCCAATTCTGGAGCCGGCTCGAAAGAGCTGCGTGGCTGCAGCGAGCCCCACAAGTGGAACGTGGAACGGCACCAGCTTGCCCTTTTCCGAAAGCCCCAATCGTGCCCCATCAACCAAGTACCTGCACCATCACCCGGTCGCTCAACCTAGATAGGTCTTGGCTGTTCGAATTCAACCCGACACAACCTGATTCTTCAATTCACCTAAACTGATATCGGTGTGTGCTGGGAAGGCTGCAGCCAGAGACCATTGAGCTGAGCAGCTTTCGTGGTCCGTGATCCCACCCTGACCTTGTGGAGGGAACGCAGGGTTATCAAGACAAACCCAGTCTAAGGCTTCTTCAGGAGACATAAGACAGACACATAGGGTCCAGTCTTTAGCTGGTCCAAAGGAAGCAAAAAATCACTAATCCTGGTAAAGCCTTTCCTGTACGCAACACACCGAAGAGATTCGTAAAGCAGTGTAAGGGATCGGAGTACAGCTACATGGATCATTCCCCGAGTCCAGCAGTTGAACTCACGAGTCTCACCTATGCCAACATTGCTTTCGGGCGCCTCGTTATTTGACGAAAAAGGGGGATGAACTCGTGAGAGTCCTCTTCTCATGTGGGCTGGTCTTGGAGTACCACGGCCCCCTTGTAGAATCGATACCTAAGGCTGAAGGATGGCGGAGTCTGGGTCTGCAGTGACGAAGGGTTCCATGAGAACCCGTGACAGAGTCAACGTCGACAGACTTTCACCTCTCCTCGCTTGCAGTAGCTTGCAGTAGAAGATCCACCGTTCTGAAGCTCAACGGCGCTGTTCGGACACTGCACCCATATCGAGGGGGTTGACTTCACAATGGTTGAGGCTAGAAGGGGCATCGGGCTGCAGACTCCTGGCCGTGGCTTGTCCGCGCCAGGCTGCGCGGTGTGAGGGTTTGGAGATGAGGGTCTCGGCTTCAGTCCGCTGCACGCCCTCAACTCTCAAACACCACAAGCAATCTGAGTCCTAGAGGCCGCATAGACCCCAAACCCTCCCACTACGACACGTTCATCCCTCGCAAGGCCCCAACCCCCAGAAAGGAAGTTGCGAATCTACAGAGATCTTTCTCCGAAGCCTTGAGGGACTCACAGTCACACATAAATCCCCCTGACCCCCTAAAAAAGACCCTGAAAGCCCCTGAAGCACCCGAACACCCCCTGAAAGCCACTACAGCAAAGCACTCTGACAGCGCCTAAGCCCAACAGATCCCCCAAGTCCCCAAGTCCTCAAGTCCATGGCTCATGCTCCAAGCCACCGGCCCGCGTGCCAGCGCGCCTCAACGCGGGCCGAGGCGCATGGGAGCAGGGGCTGGGGGTGGATTTTAGCGTTGCTTTAGGCCTAGTAGTTTTTGGCGCGCAGTGCAAAATCAGAACCACCTCCAAAACAAGACGTGTTAGAGAACGGGGTGAGGTGAGTGAAGGAAAGTAGCGTCGCGAAATCGTATCTGTTGACCCCCAGCAGGAAACAACAAATCGGGCCACGGTGTTGTGATCAGTTTCTAGGGCCAACCGCGTGGACTCCAAGTGCCATCTGACAAGCGAGCGGTTTCATGGCATGCTGCTGGTAACATGGACGCAGCCATCGTGGGCATGGATGCTCTGGCCGTTCGGATGCACTGGTAACAGAGACGTACTCGCGAGCAGGAAAGCGCAGATATGCACCTGAGCGGGCAAGGTGGGTTTTTTGCGCCACAAGCCTAGATTTAGGGTTGCCGGGCGGCCTTTGGGAGCACCAGGCTTTAGGTTCGAGCTTGAGAGGCCTTGATGGATCTGAGGTGTTTGTGGAGACATTTTCTGGGCTGCTGTTTCATAAACAGCATCAATTATGGGGGTGAAAAAAGCTTGTTTAGGACTTGTTTCGGAGTCGTTCCCTGACTCTGAGCGTCACTAAATATTCTGAGTTGAAATGCCGAAGCTAAGCCCTCCCTCCTATTCGATGTGTGGCAGCAGATGTGGGGATGGCAACCCGAGCAAGGCACCATTGCCTCTTCAGCTACGCCGACCCCCAAACCAGGATGTGACTCAAGGAGGGCACAGCAAAAGTCTTTGCCCGGATCCCCGAACCCCAAAAACTCAAGCCTGGCTTTCGGGGTAAAGGCAGTCAAAGATGGCGGAAAGGGGACCCCCATTTAGAAGAGCTTGCAGCGGAACCCTCCTATTGGCCAGGGGTCGGGTGCGTCGGGTTCGACCTCCTGGCGTCCCAAAGCGGGCGAAGGTGGTGGACGCGAAAAGGCCCGTTGAGTGACAGAGGATTGTCGTCTTCAAGTCTTGTGACTCAGTGCTCGTCGTCGCGGTGAGAGCGAGTTGAGGGTTCCTGTGTGTCTCCTGTAGAGTCCGTCTAGGTTTGAGACCTACACATGCAAGCAAAGACCTCAAATCTAGATCTGGCCAATTGCTGCAAGACAGCCTGTGTTTACAGGCGCCGGAGCACCCAAGCGAGGCGCCCTACGTTTGCCAAAGATGCGGTGGGCCCCATCACCACCGAGGCGGGCCTTCTTCGATTGACGGCACGCCGTTGAGGATTTCGATGTTTCCAGTTGCTTGCCTGTGCCCTATAAAGCCATGTGTAAGCCTTGACGGGCTTATCCTGAGCTGCAGTGCCTTAGATCAGAGGCTCTTTTTTCGTGGGGATCCAAGGTCCAGTGCTTCCGTCAAGACCAAAGCACCACCTCTACCTTAAACTTTCCTAAGCACTCAACCCTTACAACCATGCCCGAACCTGCGTCCCATAGATCCCCCGGGAAGCCAAACAGCTACGCCACCTCCGCACAAGGACTTCAACGAGCGGCTGCGTCGCTCTCGCCGGCGAGGCCGCTTGGGCTTGCACTAGGGCTGAGGGCTAATACCCCAAAGCCCAAACCGAACCCTAAACCCCAGACGCTCCAGTTGTGAGGCACTTCTGGTTCGAGATGTTGGGTCCAGCGAGTGCTGTGAAGCCTTTGCCGGCCGAGGCAAGGCAGGATGGATCGAGGCCTTGGACCTTCTTCAGACGCTCAAGGCCTGTCGAGATATGCAGTCTGCTTCGCGATTACGGCTGTGGAAGAGCTTGTGGGCTGAGGGCATGAGGGCTTCATTGGGTTGGTGCTCATGGTCAGGCTCAAGCACCTGTGAGCATTGGGCCGAGAATTTCTGCTTTTTTGGCAGTGTTTAGCGGAGATGTAGGGCGTTTGGGATGTGTTGGCAAACGAGTACCTAACCTCTACAACCCCAGTCCCAAAACTCAAGAGATCGCTCCTGCAGCGTCAAGGGCCCTTACTCGACACCTTGAGATGGCACTGAAATGCCTTAGTCGAAACAAGCTCTGTGCTGCTCTGCACCGGCAGATACGTTTTCAGTGGTTTCAAGTTGTGCCTCTGCATCTCCGAATTAGTTAGAATCACTGGCCAGTCCGAACCCCGTTAGCCAATGCCAACCTACCTTCTTTTGCAGGGCTACGTCGTGCCCGCGGGCCCAGACGTGGTGTCCTACAACACCATCATGACGGACTGCGGAGGCTCCGCCACTCAAACTGCTACTCTATTTACGAGACAAGGATCCTACTAGGCGGAGGCCGAGGGAGCACCTCAAGCCCTGTATGTACATTGCTACTTTATACCGTATATACCTGTACGCGCATGTGCATGTATGTACTTATATACACGTAACTGCATGTCCCGATACCGGTCGCCAACCGCTGAAAGCAGTCAGGGGGGAGTGAGCCTCGAAGGGTTGAGTCAGGTCAATGTTTCTGTTTCTCTGACCCTCTATAATGATATCCTAATGCCAAAGCCCCTAAACCCTAAAAACCCAACGACATCCTCAAGCCAAAGTCGCTGAGAGTGTTCGACTTCCGGCTGCTCGGAGGCAGAGGCAGGTGGATGCCTGTGGTTGCTCTGCTGGAGGCAAGGCGCCAGAGAGCGCGCAACCCAAAAAACCATAAACCCAGTAGTATCAACCCTAAACCCTAAACCCCTTAACCCCTTAACCCCTTAACCCCTTAAACCCCTAAACCCCTAAACCCCTAAACCCCTAAACCCCTAAACCCTAAGCCCTAGAAGCACGAGCACCAAAGTCGGAACTTGCAAGATCACCAGGACTGCCCCCGAAACCAGGCGACTTCCCAGATTCCTCAATCCTCCATGGCACCTCCACGCCATGTGAAGCTTGTCCCATATATGGCTTTTGGTGTTTACTGCTGGGCGCAGTTTCCGGGAAATGGTTTAGGGTGCAGCGTTTAGGGTTCAGGCTTCAAGTTCGTTTTAGGTTGCAAGGCGTGTGTTCTGGAGATTTAATTAAAGCCTTGCCAGGTCAAAAGATTTAGGCATCTGGCTTAGGGTTCAGGTTTCGGGGGTTGGACCCTAAAGCTCCCCCCAAAGCCCCGCAGGCCCTAAGATGCCGCGGCATCCAGCCCGACATCATCAGCGCCTCCGCGCGCCCGATGGCAAGTGGAGTTTGAGGTTTAGGATCTGCTTTGCATCGTTTTCCGGGATGCTGACTGGTGCCCTTAAGCGGCAGTGTATGATGTGCAGCATACGACAAATGTCTACCTTTCAGAAGCGGAAACACCAAAGATCCGAAGGCTCTTAGGGTCCCTAAGCCAGCTGGGTTCTCAGGCCGCCACCGGAGCCTGCCAGAAGGACCTCCCGCCGGGGCTGGCTCTGGCTTCGCATTGTGGATGAAGATCTTCCACCTCCACGTTTTCATGGATTCATGGAAGGGTTTTAGAAGTCGTACAGGGCATCAACGGACTACTTATCATCGGGCATACACTGCCCCTTTTCGGGTACGTGGTAGCTAAAGGTCGATAAGGACTGGGAGGTGGCCTTAAAACCGTGTGAACCCTCACATCCTTTCGCGATTCATAACTGCACACAATCTTGAGCCCTATCGGGCCTTCAACCCTTTAGCCCCCAAAAACCTTTTTGAAAAAGCCGACCTGCCAAGTCCCAGCTGAAGCCAGGTTGCCTACTGGAAGTCCGCGCTCCAGCTCTTGGCCAACCTGATTGGGGCCCAAGAGCACAAGAGACCTTGTAGAGCGTTGAGTGCATGGTTAGTAGGGTTTAAGGTTTAGGGATTGGGAGAGTCTAGATGATGGGATCCTTGCTTTGTTGAATACACCCCTTGTTAAGCCCAATGCGTTTATCGACCCCCACCCCCTTCCCCTAAACCCTAAGCGGTTTCATTCGTGTTTCGAGGATGAAGGGCTCTAGGAGTCACAACAAGACTTGAGGTTCCGTGTTGTGGAAGCAGGGGGGGCCTCATGCAGGGCGACGTAGG